ATAAGTGGGTGTGCTAATTGGCTGCCCCAAGTCAAAGACCAGGTCGTGGAATGCCCAGGATCGAAGCATGGGCTCCTGAGTCTTAGACAAGTGCACACCACCACATACACCACTGCTCATGCGTAGATTATATATACCAAAACATACTAAAAAGCCAAGGTATTTTCATGCAGCAAATGATCCTCGGATTGAAAGAGCCTTGCGAACTCTTGTAGTCTCCCTTTTACCTTCAAGCAGGTTCAGACGTAAATCATCCCAAAAGCTCAGTCCCATCAAGTGTCACTCACGCAGAGAAGATCCTCAGGCCTCCCTCTGAATTCATTTCTGATCTGGAAAGTTTGCTCTGCAGCATGGCCCGCTCACCGGGTCACCGGCGTGTACAGAGACCCCTCGCCCTTCTCTTTCTCATGGTGGACAGTCTTATTTCTTTTCTCCTAACACCACATGTTGGCAGACCATTATCTCAGCCTATCTTTTGTAAACCAGCTCTTTACAATCTTGTTACACTTTAAATTGCAGTGTCTAGAATGGGTTTCAAACTTCTTGGCAGTGTTTTGTGGCTCACTGTGATTTTTTCATTTCAATGATAATATTAACATAAGATTGGTGTGTCCCCGGTGGTCCCCCACCCTGATCACGTGGGTGTGATTAGTCTCTCCCTGTCCTGCCTTTAGGCCATCCCAGGATCACCTGACAGATAACCTCCAGCTAGATTTATCTATGCCACAGCTTTGGAAACTTTGTTTTATATATAAATATATATCATTTTCTCATCTTTCAGCTCTTAGCATGATACTAGGCACTCAGTAATCATTTAATAAATATATACAATCAGTTCTCATTATTCATGTTCTGTAAAGTTGCCGTGAGCCCTGAATGAGGGAATACTGAGCCCTTGGCCCTGGGAAAAACCAAGGCTAGGCTCCTGCAAGCCTCTGGTCGCATTATTGTCGGCTCATCAACACAACACATAACACATTGTTTCACAAGTGTTCCTGGTTAAAGACACCTTATTTAATACATTGTTCATTCATTGACAGTGAATTCATGGCCAAGAGTATTATAACTTGTGCCCGAATAAAGCTTACCTAACGTTTTCCCCATAAGGCACATCACAGCCTTCCTGCACTGAGGAGCACTAGACATCACTTCAACAGTACACTTCTGGACCATTTTAAACAGTGAAGTCATCGGCAAAAAGTACAAAATTGTGAAAAGCCTGGCACTAAATAGATCACAAATAGGACACTTGTTTACAGCATGAGAGCTGAAATAAGAAGTCAGAGCATTGCCTTGATTGACTGTGGCTGGGAATGTGCATTCAGGTGACTTCAGTTTGCCAACACTCTGCACCTGTCTGCCGTGACCTTGATTTGGAGGTCACAAATGAATTTTAGCAAGTAGGCAAATTGGCAATTCTGGGATCCATGAATTATGAGAATCAAATGTACTGGTTTAAATTGTACTTCATTTTTTAGTATTGCAACCAAGATTTACAGCACGATTTCTGATCTTGTTCCTCCAGCCTTAAAAAAAAATCTTTTGGAATGAAGATCTTCCATAATATGTGTCAAACAATTCTTCCAGTTGTATATCCCTCTGCTCACTCCTGGCCAAGTCAAACTGCCCTAAGTTTTTCCACTCGTTACCTGTCCCTGTGCCGGTGCCTCCTTCAGGGGCCCCCCACCTTCATTCCCAGCTGTCCAAACCCACCATCTTCCAAGCCTCTATCTTAAATTCTACTTCCTCTATGAAGCCTTTTCTTAGACCTGCAGTAAATACTATCCCTTTCTCCTTTGTAATCTCTGTAACAGTTGATTGTGTAGTTCTCACGAAGGCCTTAACATAAGTATCTGTATACTTAATATTTCACTTCCATAAACCTTGGAGCATTTAACCATCTATTATGCATCTTTGTAATCTTCACCATTTCCAGCCAGTGTCCTGAACATTTTTCAAGGAGCTTTCAGATACTATTTAAATTTTATCCTCACAACCACCACAGGAGATAGACGTTATTATCTTGTTTTATTTGGTCTTGCTCTGTTTTGTGATCCCAAGCTGAAAAATGTACTTCATATTCCCATAAAACTGTGAGTAGGAGATTTAGAATTCACCTAGTTCTTCCTTCTCAAAGTCTGGACTCTTGCTGCTGCACTATGATTCTGTCAAACCGTCTTATCTACAAACCTTGGTAAATAGAACTCATTCCACCATTCTAATAACTGGTTAAAGCAGTAAATAACTCTAGGCCAAGACCTAGTTTTACCTACCCAAAATGAAATGTTTATTTAATAAAGATTTTCTAGACGCTATATAGAAGTAAGTGCCCATAAAGATGATTTCTTGGACATTAGCACAGTAAGACTTGAGGAGAAGAATTAAATCCTTTGGAAAGGTAAAACTGACTTAAGCTACTGCTTCTGTCCATCCATCAGCTCTATGGCCTGTCAAAGGCCTTTGCTGCTCTGGCTAAATGTCTGCTTTGCTCTGCTCTGCTCTGTGTGATATCTGTTCTTTTTTCTAGTTCACTTGTTTCATAAAAATGGATGGACTTTTTAAAATTCAGCAAGTGCATTCGCTTTTTGACGCCATCTCTTCTCAGCTTTTTTTTCCCTATTAAAAAAGCAACAATATTTTTCCCTTTTCCTCTCTTGATCCTAAAATACTAGCACTGAGTTTTTCTCTTGCCCTGTATGTTTTTTAGTAAGTCCTACTTCATCTCCTGTTTTTATTTTCTTTCCTTACAAAAAGATGATTTGTTGACTTTCCTTGGTCAAAGTTGTGTTGGTCCACACAGATGAGGAGGTATATTCATCTTTGGTACAGCACCTTGCTCATTTCCTTCAACCACCCCATCCCAGTTGTGAGGGTTCTGCCTGTCCTTAAGAGCATTTTGTTATGTTCTTGAAGAATATATACCATGGCTCTTAATTTACACGTCTCACATAAATCTTTCTGATGAAACTTTTTAATTAGGTTCTCTACCATTGAAAATTTCTTTGTTAGAATTTATATTCTTTTTATTTTCCACATTTTAGTCCTTTTCTTCCCTGGAATTCTGGCTGCTATGCCTAATATTCATATTGACTAAGTTTGCTTTCCACAATTCCAATTCCAAGTGATTTTTCTTTGTTTACAAGCAACAGTCAAGGAGATCATCTTCCATATTCCGCAGCACAAAATTTAGTCTAGTACAGGCTTAGAATGTGTTAATCATAAAGACTCAACCATATGAAATTCCTGAAAGAGATCATGTAGTTTTTTGTCATGATTAGCAGTTGATGCTCGGCCATGCTTCAGGAAAATTATACCATATTTTCCACATGCTTAGGAATTCTCTAATCAAACTTCAAGTATTCCGTCCTTTTTATTTTCAAATTAAACAAATCACATTTTCTTCTCCATTATTCCTCACTTCCTCTCCTAACTTTAATAATCTGTCCCTGAGGGCTCCATCTTTTCTCAAAGAGAAGTATGGGCCAATCACCAGAAATCAGGTGGTCTGTACTTCACTTCTCCACTTCCATCCTAGATGACAGTGGAACCCAGAGAAATGACTTACCCTTCCCGAGCACACCCAATGGGCATGTGCATAGCATTCATCCATGGGTAATCCAGTGATGGGGCGAACACATTTGTTAAATAAGCAAATGTGGTTTCTGGCATCCTGTATCTGAGTAACAATAAACATTCCCATTTATTCTTCTGAGGAACTGAACAAAGATGTACACTTCAAGTAAATAAATATACTAAATCTCAGGGAGGCCTGCGAGGCCTTTTGGAGGGGAAGACAGTGAAACATCATGGCCCTCCTGGGTGTGTCACAGCAGCACAGCACAAGGCAGACTGTGGCGATACAGCACTTAGCGTTTTGTATATTAGCTGTTTCTATTTGGACACAACAAAAAGACCTCACCTAGAGGCTTTGCTTTGTCCAATGGATGGAAAGCTGTGCATGAGAATTTCTGTCTTTCAGAGTGTGTTTTCTTCTTTTCAAATCAGAGTGGTAAGGTTTGGTATACAGTCTTCGTAATAAAGCAATAGACATTTTTTAATCTGGTGTCAATTATCAGTAATTTAATTGTCCTTCAGACGCGATGGTGCTTTCTGTCCTAAACCCACAGAGCTCCCAGGCTACTCCTGGTGATTGCTGAGATTTCAACATTTGCTATTATAATTGCTTCCATTTTGTTAGTACACGTCTGCTCTGACATACGATGGAGTCCTGGTGATGGCTGAAACTTTCCGCAATCTTAGAAGACAGAAGATTGATATCTCCAGGAGAGGAAATGCTGGGGATTGTCTGGCAAACCCCGCTGCTCCATGGGGCCAGGGAATTGACATGGAGAGGACACTCAAACAGGTGACTCACAATTCATTTAAGTTCAGTTTATTTCAGTCTTGTTTAAGTGACATATTCAAGAAAATAGAATAATTCATCTGAGAATAAATATAAATTATAATTGCCGTTTTAATATATCCAGCCATTATCATTTTTGAGACATTTCTAAATAGAATACTGGTGTTTATATCTTATGTAGACACATGGTCAGGATAAGACAGGTTATGTTACAATAATAAAGAACCCTGGGTCCCAGTGACTTAAAACATCAAAAGGGTATTTCTCATTCACGCTAGATTAATTTTCATTCACACACACTGGGCACTGCTTAGTGTGATCACGCAGGGGTACCCAGGTTGAGAGAGAGGCCACCACCTTGAATGCTGCAAAGGGGAAGAGAGTTGTGGGGAGCTTTCAGCTTGTCAGTTAGATGCTCTGGCCCAGCAGTGGCAGTCATCACATCTGCTTACAATTCATGTGTCGGAGTCGCTTAGACCTTGCCAACCACAAAGCATCCAGAAAGAACAAGCTTACCTCGGCGCCATTATGGGGAGAACCAGAAATATTTTTTAAACACTATTAATGACTACTTCAGTAGATCTTTAAATTGTCTTGTAACCTTGGATTGAGTGATTTGTTTTAGTCTTTTACAGTTATGCTAACACTATTCTTCAAATAATCAATGCAATATGTATATATTTTTAATATTACATTTTAAATGTTCTGTGGTGCTATGGGTTCAGAATGTAAGTTAAAATGATTTAAAAGAATATGTGGAATAATTCATTTTTCCACTTCAATATTTTCAAAAATATGTTTATATTTTTTAACTTTTTGTGTCTTAATTTTAATACTAGCAAGGAGAAATAGAAATATGATCTGGTGTGATCATCAGGGCTATTTAATCTGTCATGTGAATGTATAGATAAAACTGAAAAGTAAGTATAAACAAACCATATTTCCCTTCCTACAAACAATACTTCAATATTGAGAAAGTTTTTTGTTACAAAGGAAGCTTCATAATATAAAAAGCAAATAAGACATGTTCATCTTCCGAATATCCAGCAGAATTCCTTCTGCATTCCTTTGATATTCCTCTTTTAGATTCTATCCCAGTAGCTCAAGTACTCCCTGGTTTTTTTAGTGAGCTGCTTTAAAAAGTGTATAGTTCTACAGCAATGTGTAGCCATAACCCTAGCAGATGAGTCAAGATTTCTGTAAGTGAAATGGCAAATGAATACATATATGGGTTTTCTTTTTCATTCATAGGTTCGAATCCAAGGGCTGACAGGGAACGTTCAGTTTGACCACTATGGACGTCGGGTCAATTACACAATGGATGTGTTTGAGCTGAAGAGCACAGGGCCTAGAAAGGTGAGCCACTCTTGAGCTGGTTTCTTCAGTTTGCGTTTGACTTTTTTAAAGGCTGATAAGTGAAAGGTAGCTGGATACTCTACTTTTTCTTTTTTTAAGGTGAGTTCCTACAAATAGTACTTTTTTTGATGATCTGGGCTGAAATAAATTTTTGTGTTAGAGGATTGATATTTAACACCATGCCAAAGCTGAAACAAGTTAATTTATATACTGTATATGCCCTTTATCCAAAGTGGAAGTTATACACATGTGTTTTTAAGACTTAGTGGAAGGAATCCCACAAAACAAAATTCTCTGTGCAGGAAAGCACCACGGCAGGCAAGAGAGCAATGCATCTGCCTGCAGTCATTTGTGAGATCATTAGAACAAAGAAAACTACTTCTAAGGTGTGGGCATACTTACAGCAAGCTGCATGTTCTTGATGAAAGCAAGGAAACACATTCAAACGAGCAAAGGTGAGAGCAGATAGAAGATAAGGTTATTTAGAGTCGTTCAGCTTGAGGAGAGAGAGAAACACCTAAGGAACTCCCACTGAGGGGCCAGGAAGGTCGGGAAGCTGCTGGTGCCAGATTCTTGGATTTCCCAAGGTAACTCTGCAGCTCTTATGATGTGATGAGGCACCACAGTTCACCAGCATCCAAAACTACTTTGCATAATGGGACCATAGAATCCCACCACAGTAGTTGGCTATAAGTTTTTTAACCTAACACATATGATTTTTAACTTTCCTTTCCTCTAGGTTTAGACAGGATGTTGAAGGAAAAAGATGCTCAAGTGACCTTATCTAAAAACACTATTTGTCTCAACACTTGGTGTTCAAATAAACTTTCCCAAATATAATTTCCTGCTTTAATGTAATAACAATAGCTACAGTTTATGAAGTGCCTGCTATGTCCCAAGCACTGGACTTGGTACAATTTAATCCTCCCAACAAGCCCGTAATGTGAGTACCACTATCTCCCTTTTTCAATGAGAAAAATTACTGTACAGTAGGTTACAGTTCTTTGTCTAAGGCCTATAAATGAGAAAACAAAGATTTTAATTCAGATTCGTCTGACCCCAGAACCTTTCTACATCATTACCTTGTCTGAGTAGGCCCTGTTCTAAAGGAGTTTATTTTGTAGTAGAATAGAATATAATAAGTTCCACAGGACAATTAAAGAGAAGGCATATGGAAATTCCAAAAAGAGGTCACTTCCTGCTAGGAAAAAAAAACATATAAAGGAAGGGTGCCTGGAGGAGGTGAGATTTAAACTTGGCCATGAGTTAGAGTTTGAATAGGTAGAAACGGAAGGAGCAAGAACCTAAGTGGGACAGTCAAAGTCATACATGGAAAACAGCAAATGCCTCCCGAGTTGGGTCTTGCTCCAGTCTGTCCTGGTGCACACTCCTGTACAGGTGTGAGAGGGAGAGATACGAAGCTGTCATGGAAACCATCCCTAGCTTTTCAGCCTTGCAGTGGCAGCTCCTTGAGTGCAGGCTGCCAGCTAACACAGGGCAGGCCAGAGCTGGCCTGGCTCAGATCAGGTCGGCTGGAGATGGATGGCAACAGGGAAGCCGAGGTACATGATGGACTCCTCCGAGGCTGCTGCCCACCACAGGGGCCTGAGACATGCCCCCGACAAGAAATTTAGGGAACTTCATGTAAACAGTGACTCTGACCACTGTGTCAGCACATAGCTAGCAACAGGAAAGAAAAGGCTTATTTTAAGCAAAGTCTCTGCTAGCTGGGGTGCAGAAAGAATACTCCATGGACTCCTAAAAACATTGGCCAACTGGTGAGCAGAGGTAAAACAGGCACACCTTCCCAACACAAACCAGATCTTTCAAAATTAGCCATTTAAGCAGAAACTTTCTAAAATGCAAAAGACAATTCCCTATTTCACAAAGCAGTATGAAAATGAAACGATTTCTCTACAAAGAAAGAATGGGCAAAAGAAGTGATGGTAACTAGCAGTAATATCAGGTGGGCTTTTTATCATATGGAATCTTTCCATGCCCTGTTGAACCATGATGGCAATAAAAATTAAGGTTTCTGGAGGAGAAAGTTAACGAGTAACTTGAGAAAAAGATGAACAGTATATCTTCACACTCAGCCAACATTCGTCTGACTCTTAAAAGAAATACAAAGTACAAAATGGTATAGACGCATCCATCTTCATTTTTCTGTGGCAACTATCAACTTGGGCATTCTGTCAGGAATATTAAACTTAAAAATGAGCTCCCCTATGCTGGCACGACTCAGCAGTATGTCTGAGAAGCAAGCAATCGTTCTGATAAATTGAACACCTGCCAGCAAGAGAGAGCTATCTTTGAAAATAGATCAGAGAGTCAGCCCACCATTTGTCCGACTTCTGTAGCAGGAAAACTGATTGGAAGTCTCATTAGGCAGAAGCCACGAAACCCTTTCTGAGCCCCAGCTCCTGTGTATGGTGGAATCTGCTTGTCGCTCCAGCAGCTGCACCCCATACCCCCAACCAGAGGGAGCGCTCTAGAGCCAGACTGCATGTCCCCAGGAATTCTTAATTGTAAAACATATTTGTTGAGAACAAGTTATATGCCAGACACAGTAATGGAAAATAGATGTGAATTTTTATGTTTGATACTCACAACAACCTGGGAGTTAGATTCATTTTTCTTATTTTAAAAAAGAGAACAGTGAGGCCCAGAGAAACTAAGGTAACCTGCCCAGAGATGTCCGGCTAGGCAGAAACGGGGTTGGGGCGGGAGTCAAGTCCCGCAGAGCTCCAGAGCCCCCTCTCCTGACTGCTGTGAACTGTCATCAGCCCCAGGGGCTCTGCGGGTTCCCCTTAGAGCTGGGATGAGAAGATACATGAGCCTACATCATTTTACACTCCGTAAAGACATTATTTTTCAGGATAGCTCTGGCCAGATCAGCTCTCCAAAGAACCAACTTTGAGTACAAAAGGGGCTTCTCTAAGCCCCTTAATCTCTTCTCAACCCTTAGATGCAGGCGAAGTCTGCCCACAAATACATTATGCCTGTATACATCATATTATCTATATACATTATATTATGGTTATATTCGCACACAATTCACCTTTAGGAGTTCAAAGAAGACAAACATTTTTCTGATGTCCCCTGCCAGATTTAGTGATTTAGATGCTTCCATATTTTTGCTTCCAGCATTATAAAAGGATTTTCCCTCTAAATTCTGTCTCTAGGAAAAATGTCTAGTTCCCTGTCTGATTAAATGAGATCAGGCATTGAGAAAGTTCTTTGTAAGTTGTAAAACGTTGTGAAGAGCTAGAGAGAAAAACACCATCTTGGGTAAAGTTTCTAGGTCCGAATTTTATGATTCATTTCTTTAGGAAGTGACCCCTGTATCACTGTCCAGCCCATGTGCTCTTCCCTCCCAGTAAGTCTATGACCCACATAAGATCTACCATTAATTGGTCCCATACCACAAACCATGGCTTTCTTTTTTCACTAGAATTGCAAGTAGATATAAGGCATAGATATAGTTGGTAAAAATTTGCTTATTATTTTAATTTTCCAGCACTTCTAAATCATTTATCTTCTGGAGGTAGATAAAAACCCACAGGTTGTTTTTAAAGGCAAAATGTCAAGGTCTTCCCAACGTCTGAGGACTCTCCAGAATGCATCCCAGATCTGTGGTTTTTCTATTGTGGGAAAGAAAACATGGCTTTCTCAGAGAATGGGTTGCTGAGTTCTGAAAGGTGGCTGCATCTTAATGGAATGCTAAATTGCAAAACCCATTCTCATGCCATATAACTGTCATGTGGAAGGGAGAATTAATAAGAAGCAATTGGCATGTTGTTTTTATTATTTTTAAAGTACACGTAAGAATTGAGGAGAGGTTAGGTCTCAACTTTTCACTGAATGAATAAATAAATGTCAGTGATGAATGGATGTTAGGTCTCAAAGGCATACTTGTTCTTAAATTTTCACTGAATGAATAAATAAATGTCAGTGATGAATGGATTCGTATGGACAACTGAAAATGTTTGCTGAATTGACATATACTCAAAATTTCAGGACAAAGCCGTATTAATGAAAATTCTTTTTTCCATCTATTCAGTTATTGAATTATACATACAACACCTGTGAATAATAAACGGCCTCTTTCTGACATGTTAATGCCTACTTTCTTTTAATGTGTTCACAAATACTAACACAGCAGTTAAGAAACTTGGAGGAAACGAGAGACTTCTCAAACATGTTAGAACAAATAGTAAATACAGACCAGTAAGCAATTTTGCACATTTTACTGGAGATATTAATTATATCAGCTGAATCCAGAAATTCAAGAAAGCTTGGCAAGAGTTAAATGAATGCCCATTTTGGTAGGCTGTGTAGCATAACAAATACTTGGTATCATATGGACCCAAATTTTGAATTCCGGCCATACAAGAATATAACCTCATGCAACTTATTTAAACTTCTAATAAGGGCCCCCATCTCCAAAATACAGATAACTATACCTACTTTTACATTTGCTATGTGTATAAACTTTAAGAAACATATAAAAAAAACCACACATTGAATATAGTGTCTATCCCAGAGCAAGCAGTCAGTTGATAGCCATAACTATTACTTGGTGGTCTGCATACTACAAAGAACCCTGCATTTCCTTTAGGGTCCCATTATAGTTTATGACTTGGTACAAAATGCTTACCTAATTATTTAACATATTTTATAGAAAGGAGTTTGCTTCAGGTCTAAATAAGAACATAAGGATTCTAAATAATGAAAAACCTCAAACTTAATGTAATCTTTGAAAGTGAAAATACTAACATTATTTATTAATATTAATATTCACTAATATTAATCTCACCTATTTGACATTTTAGAAATAGTAAGATCGTTATCTGGTGGCTAGGTTATGTCAAACCAAAAACTATTTCTATATTGCTTTAAAAATACACATCTTTTTTGCTTGAAAATATCTGTATATGGCCCCTTGGTAAATCCAGCTAGTCCTTTTACCATAAAGCCGGTAATGTTATTGATAAAATCATGTAAATTAATCTTAGAGAGTGCCAGGCAGTCTCACCAGAGGAGAGGACGAGCATAAAACGGGATCCCATCTGTACCCGTATTCTTTTTGGAACCACTCACTCCCAATGTCTTGGCTACTCTGTGACTGTAAATTTTAAAGTTGCCAAATGTATAACCAGGCAGCATCATTAACAGCAGGAAAACTGGCTCACCATCAATTAAGAAAACCTCCAAACACTTTTTTTCACCTGCTTTTGAAACTTGTTGTGTTTGCTTACTTAATAATACCCTTCCTTGTTCCAATAAGAACTAGAAAAGACTCTCTTCTCTAAGTGTTTTCAAGAATTTTCTTTATTTGGCAGGTTGGTTACTGGAATGATATGGATAAATTAGTCTTGATTCAAGACGTACCCACTCTTGGCAATGACACAGCAGCTATTGAGAACAGAACAGTGGTTGTAACCACAATTATGGTAAGTTTTGGTCTATGCTTTATGCTATTCCGTTTTGTCCACAGGCAATTTTAGTTCCTCAGCTGTGGTAAATAGGGAGGGTGGAAGTTGCGTCAGCGTGGCCATATGGGCGTTTGATCCACAGTCTATCGAGGCTTCGAATAGGTGTATCCTGAGCCTTGAGTACATTCAGTGCTTTTATTTGTTACTTTTTGTTGCATTGTTGTTCTTGGAAAAATGCTCAGATATTAAAAATTGAAACTGTCACATTGTAGTCGGAAATGTATGAAGTGCTGAGATTCCAAAGGACAAAAGAACATGAAAAAGACCAACAACCAATCACATAAAAATATCCCGTAGTAAACACCATATTGTTGTTACTATGTTTTTTAAACCATGAATGTAATTATAGTTAATAGTGTTTAAAATTATAATTTTCAGGTACTTTATTCATCGGATAATGTTTTGCATTGTCTGTTTATAAAAGTGGAGATATGAATGTGAAGATTTTAATGAGCATGTTTAATATAACTCAGTGCTTTAGAAGTAAATCTTGTTCTATATTTATTTTTAATGTGAAAAGGGTTTTTGCACCGATTATTTTTCTCATTGACCAGTGACAAATACACAATACAGTTACTGGATTTCTCCTAAGAATTAAGAAAAATATTGTTTCTTCATTTGGCCACATCATAAAATGAGAAGTATCCTAAGGCTGCATTTTTTAAGAGATTCTCAGGAAGTTACCATTTAAATAGTAGAACATTTTATGTATTTTTCTATTCTAAAGTCAATGTAAGTCAAAGGAGATCAACAATCGGTGACCTTTCTATCTTAAGTTAAAGGTGTGTATCCTCAGCACACTGTCTCCTTCAGCAGAACACATTTTAAATTATTTCTGAAGCCCTTACTCTAAATAAAGCAAAATATTTTATGTAATTTAGTTTTTACCATATGTAATTTTAGTTTTAGGTTTTTAATCATGTTGAGTGATTTCCAAAATTTTGACATTGGGGTCAAAGCATGAAAAAGCCAGAGAGAAGCTTTCAGATGTTGCAATTAGTTTTATGTGTGTTGCATCAGCAGCTAGCAATTTAATGTCAATCTGCCAAGCCTTGATTGGAATTTTATGATTTTAGAATGCAAACCAATCAACAGCAATGTTTGTGTAAGAGTGAAAAACATATTCCTTCTAACTTGATCATGTAATATTTGCATGGGACTTGAAAAACAATATATATATATATATTTCTTTTCCTAAAAAAGACACAGTAATGGAAAGTCATACTTCAGTACAGTCCTCCTCTTTTCAGCCTCTGATGAAGAATCCTATTTTAAGACATTGATCAAGAGAGAAATGAGTTCCACGCTGTTCAACCATTCCTAACTAAGGCTCGAGTCTGTTCTCCTGTGTAGTAAATCTAAGCTAATTATTCATGTGGGATTCTTCTTGGATGACCAACTCTGGACTACCAGAAAAAAAAAATTTTTTTTTTAAGATCTGTGACTTTTCTGAGATACTAGACTAAAAGAAGAATTAATCCTCATCTTTCTCAAGAAAAAAAAAATAGATGTTGAAAGGAATCACTTAGTGATTCTGACATATCAATTCCCATATCTTGAAATGAGGTCATTGTAAATAAATGATGGAATTACAGCACTCTTAATTCCAAGTGAAGGTTTTCTAAAAGTAAAAATCTATGAATTTGTGTGCTTGTTTTCTGAATATACACAGTTGTTTTTTTAAGATTTTTTGGAAATATTGCCTGTTCTGTGTAAAATAAACTGTTTTAGTGTGCATTTTAGGTATAATGTACAGAATCACCTTTCTATCCCTGTTATTAAAGGGGCTGGAGATATAATTCTTAAAACCAAAAGAGTGAATTAATTTTGCAAGCATGGCTAGTTTTCAGGGAGCATGCTATCAAAAAAATAAGTGAAAATGAAAAATCTGTTTCCTATATACATAAGGAGTATCTGTAAAGTTATCTATTGCTTGACAGTGATATCACCAATATTTTTGCTATCAAAATAATGCAATAGTAGTACTGTGTTTTGTATAAAAATGTCATCTTCATATAAATATTACTTCTGATCTTTGCAACTCTGTAATCATTCAGTAATCCAAAAAAAAAAATCCCATTCTGGAGTTCCTTCCATGAAAGTGTTTCTTATATTTGCTTTTGTTGGAAACAATAGCCTGGAACCTATGATATCTCCACCACCTCATGCATTTTGAAAGAAATATGATTCCTTGTAGATCAGTGAGAGATTGGCGACTGTGTGTAATAATCCCAAACTCAACTGAAAACTCCCAACACAGAGGGAGTTGGTTAGACACTGTAATATGTGCAAAACATATCTAGACATAGAAGAAAACGGAGAGCATTGTGCAGCACTGGAAATCATTCTTTTTGATTGAAATTGATAGTGTCACTGTTCTTCCATTTGTCTTTCCTTTGTGTATGTTGTTATATATATGTTGATACACTGTAATGATATATGCTATTATTAAATAAAATTGATTGAGAAATGCATTTATCCCTTCATAAATATTTATTAAGCGTCTGCTGTGTGCTAGGCACAGCTGTAAGCCTGGGGAAACATTACAGAACAAAACAGGTGACAACCCAGCACTTAACTGAAGTTATATTTCATGAGAGAAAGAAAACAAAAAATATAGTAAAATAAATATGGCAGATATCATTCTAAATAAAATGTGGCTTTAGCCTTTTGTACTGTCAACATTTATTTTTCTTGTAACAGTGTAATATATCTATAACGTGATCTTCATTTTAATGACTAAATTATTCTACCTGAATCTAGTCATACTGAATATAATTTGCTAAATCTAAGTAAAAAGTAAAATTGACAGTATCACCGCATGAGAATCATGACTACAAAGTTGAAAAGTCTAATGTTTTGGATTCAGATGCCCATCATTTTTTAACTCTTAATGACTGAATATTTTATGAAACCTGTAAAATGTATAAGACTGTGGCCATATTAATTGAACTATTTACATTCAAAATAATAATTTGTGTTAAATAGCAACCTAAGGAAGCCAAACCTGAGCCATGTGGTTTGGGTGAGTGCAGCAACTGAGGAAAAGGCAGTTTGCAGTAGATGGTTGGAGGAAGAGAGGGGTGTTTCCCCTGTAACCTCTCCGATTGTTTCGGCTGCTGAACTCTCTGGAAAAGGAGAGATAATGTAGTATATTTTAGCAAAGACCATTTTCTCCCAAATCATTACTACTGAAGCTAAATGATGCTTAAGATGCATTCCTCAACTAAGAAGATACTTCTTACCATTTTATGAACATAACAATCCTTAGGGAAAATTTTACATAAATCCAAATTTATCCACTACAACATCAGAATTATGTTACAAACCTAAAAGCAATACACTTGATCTTTCCAGAGGTTACTTTTTATAGTTTTTATGAGATATTTGATATTTTAATCTTCTCTGTGTAGAATTTTGTAGATGCACTATACATAGGTACAAGTACATATACAGCATAGACATACACATATTTATATACATGTAAACTTACATATCAGTCATACAGATATGATTATTTTCTTTCTTGTACCAAATATTAATTTCCCCATACATACATCTGCCTACAGAGGGCTTGTAACTCAATTAGTTTTTAAATAAGTTATTTTGCATAAACAAAATTCTGCAGCTATTAAATTTACTCATTTTTTTCTGAATTGGATAATAACAATTTGATTTCCACTTTTAAAAATTTTACCCATGGGATAAATTATCTACATCCATTAATATACATTGGAGGAATCAGAAATCCACATTACAAATAATTGGTTGATACTACTGATTTTATTATTTTAATTGTTTTCAATAGTAATTGTAATGATTATATTTGTGATGTTTAGAAAATCTTAAAGGCTTTCTATTAAGCATCTATTTAAACAGCTTTACTTTTGCTAAATACAAAAAGTCCAAAAAATAGTTCCTCAGGAGGAAAATGATACTTTATGATTAAAAATCATCTTAATTCATTTACACAAACATTTTCATAAGCAAGCCTTAATGTAGCAGCTTTAGACAAAGACATTTCTTTCCTGAAATAGCAGAGCAGATGTAGAACACTATCTGTTATGGGAATTGCAGTAATAAACTCATAATCACTAAGAGGTACAGCTTTTAAAATAACTTATAAGGAGTTATTGTTCCACAAAACACAGTAGTTGGTAACAAAGATGGTATGGTAGGTTGTACTCTTAAGGCAGAAGTAATAATAAGAGGGCATATTCCACTTCTCTGATAATTCCATTTTTATTCACAATTGAGCACCTGGGACTCTATAAGCCTGCTTATCAAAGATGCCCCACAAATCTCCCTTAATGATTTGCTAGAACTCATTTTTATTGTATTGGAAAGATTTGATACTTCCTTAACCCAGAGGAGCCCCAAAAACTTTGTACTAAATTTCCCCAATTATGCAATGTTTGAAGGATTTCTTGCAGACAAATTGTCAGATTGGGGATGGGATAAATAGGGAAGTTGGGCGAGTATTGAGGATTTGCTTCTCATTTGGATTTGACATGAATGAAAAGCAAAATGAGACACACTCAAAGAAACTGGGTGGAGCTAAGCAACTTTGAGAGCTTCTGTTCCAGAAAAGGCTAGACTCTCTCTCACTTTGTTCTTCCACCTTCCCGAGTGTGATCATTTTATTTCTCTGATGCTGCATGCACCACTCATCTGAATCTTAATGACTGGGCAGGCCCCTGGTTGGCAAAGAGTCTAGCTAAATTTCTAATCACTATCTTCAGTAAGCTGAAGGGTTTTCTAGCCTTTGTTTATTTGTTTGGCACAAAAACAAAGACCTGATGGGCCCCTGCTGTGCTAAAAGGAAGTTGAAAAAAATGAAAGAAGACAATGAAAACATTTACCTGTGTATGCATACGCGCATTTCAAAAGAGATCTAGGTCCTGTTAATATTTTCTTTCCTTTTGAACACCTGAATCAGAAGTTCTAATATCACTACGTTGCCTCAATAGTCCTATTTAGTAAGCACTGATCGACCAGGGAATCTTGATATTTTTTGAGTGCTTTATATGTACCAGATTCTGTAAGGAGATAGAGAGAGGTGCTATCTAATTGTTTACTCAAGATTTCATATGAAGAATTTCATCCACTAAAAAATACAGAAATTCACCTCTTTAAACTTGCCCCTCCTCTTTTAAATCATGTTTAATCTCAAATAGTTGTACATATTTTGACAGATGCAACAATAGCTCCAAAAATGTCCACATACAGCTTCAATAGCCACTTCTGCTAGTTCTTTGAAATAGAACAGTTTAACATCTCCGAGACAAACTTTCCATCTGCCAAAATGGGAAATGCCTACCTCAAAACGTCAGTGTGAAAAGTAAATGAAAGTTCAGGATTAAAAGACTTAGCACACTATGACACAAAGCAAGAGCTATTATTTTTTCTCACTACTATATTGTTTGATTTACCCCCACCACTCTCTCTCCTTTACCTTTACTACACAGAATTTAATCCCAATTAGTCACAAGAGGACAAGGGGCATATGTTCTTCATTTTTGTACCCCTAGTTCCCGGCAAACTGCCTGGCACACAGTGGGTGCTTAATAAATGTTTGAATAAATAATAGAAATGTAAATTTTAATGAAGCAAATTGCTCAGTATATAATGTTGAGGAAATTTAGCAAACTAGATAATACGAGCTGGAGAAACTTCTGAACACAAAGCTAATATGGTAATATACATATATTTGAGGATTAAATTTCATAAGTGTTCAAATATTTCAGACACTTTAGAATTGATCTCAACCAAATGTGAGCCTTCTATATACTCCTTTTGAAAAACTTAAGATTTTTGTACTAACAGTTATAGGTGACGGCTATATAGCCATTTCAATTAGAATGTCAAGCATTTTACAAAGGTGTGATTTTTGCTTATTTCTACATATTCTCCCATATTTTAATTAGCTATTGCAGGGGGAAAAAAGAAGAAAATGAAAGGATTAGCTCATTTGAACTACTAATATAACATATCTTAGGAATTAGCAGTGTTATGTAATAACTCCAAATTTCATAACCACATTTATAATTTGCAAAACCCTTTACATTTGGGGAACGTTTTCAATAAACTAATAAATAATTTTCATCTATCTAAAGAAGAGACAATTACTTGCCTTAGTTTTATAGGTAAAGAAACTTTCTGTACCCCAGTTCAGTGTTAGAAAATACATCATATTCAAAGAGTGAGAGATTTCTAGGTCACTTGACCATATCATCCTAAAGCAGAACTTAGGAAAATAATACAAAGACTAATTCTAGACAATTGCCCATAATAGTTATTTAGGGTATCTCTATGAAAAAAATCACATGCCATGTAATTTACATTTTTATTAAGTTTTTAAGAGTAATTTCTACATTTACAAAGTACTTAAAAACAAAAATCAGAATTAGTGCAGACTTCCATGTTAGGCAAAGTAAATTACAGACTAATCCATAGTTTCAAGAGCATGTTCACCTTCTTCATTTATAAATTTTGGGGAAAAGGAAAGATTTGTGTGAAAATTACTAAGTGAATATTACAGTACAATTTTATAAAATATAAGTACATGCACTCAATGACATTGTGACTAAATGTTGTATTCCCTGTCTGCAAATGAGTAAAAAATCTGAAGTATGACCAGGAGTTCTCTGCGTATTGCATGTTCACCAGGCAATTGTCTAGTAAGGTGGCCTTAGGTTCCATTTACAAAATCAAGTGCTTTTTGGTCAACGTGTCTCTCTAGTTCATGGCCTGTTTTGATTTAGGGCTGTGTGTGTGTGTGTGTGTGTGTGTGTGTGTGTGTGTGTGTGTGTGTGTGTTTTCACTGAAAACTGTCCAGTTATTATAAGCCACCAGTCAAGTTTTTCATTTTATTAGGATTTTCACAATAATTCTTCATCCTATTTTCTGTCTTACTTGCTTCAAAACCTAAATGGGAATATCACTTGAAGTATGTGATAATCACAGTTGAGGGAAACTATTAGCTTCCATTGGGGACATATTTTATAATAGAATTAAAATTCATAGAACACAATAGTAATTTAAGCAAAAATATTTGACAATTTTAGGAAAGCTAATTTAATGCAAATAAGTATATATACTTTTTTAACTGTTAACTCTTTTCTTCTCCGAACTTGCCTTAGTACCTGCTCTGAGAAAGACATCCTACTCTTAGCAAAGAAAAGTGGTCTGGCTCTTGCCCTCTTGTCCTAAAGAAGGTCACAGTTGAATGTGGCTAAATGAGAGGTAGAAATATGCAGACCTGTGACCTTGAATGAGTCTATTGTATGAAGCTGACAACTCAATCGTCTTAAACTTCATGATACATACTTTGGAAATAATCATTTAATAGCCAAAATGATAACTTATGCTTCTCTAGAAAATTATTAATGTATATTTTCCTATCTTAGTTATGTGCTAAGTGTGTAATAATCACTCAATAGAAAATGATTTTAAAGATTTCACTTTTAGTATCCACTGCAAAGCAACATAATATACTTCTAAGCATGTTTATATTTTCATCTGTTTTATTATGGATTGCTAGCCATACAAAATCAGTGTGTATACTAATACTAAATATCATCTTTTCATCAAGTTCTGAAACTGAAAAGTTACATAAAGATTTTTAAATGTTTTACAATTTCTCCTTTACAGTTCTACTTCTCTCATTATAGGAATCCCCATATGTTATGTACAAGAAAAATCATGAAATGTTTGAAGGAAATGACAAGTATGAAGGATACTGTGTAGATTTGGCATCTGAAATTGCAAAACATATTGGTATCAAGTATAAAATTGCCATTGTCCCTGATGGAAAATATGGAGCAAGGGATGCAGACACAAAAATCTGGAATGGGATGGTAGGAGAACTTGTTTATGGGGTAAGCAAATCGATTTATTGAAGAATTTACTTACATAAAACTGAAACATTTTCTCACTTGGGCACATGTCAATTTTTAAAAGCTTATTACTGTTTTTTAAATTTGCATTTACATTTAAAGAGGCATATAAAATGTTCAAATGTTTCTCTATTTCTTTAATAATGCAATTCCAAAGCAACTAGAGAAACTAACACTTGATAACTTCAAAATCAGGAGAAAAGATAAAAATTTGGAATATGACATCCTATGTAAAAAAAACAAAAAACACTGACTTGACTATCTGTGACGATTATTCTATAAGTTTGGTGCTGCTATATACCACAGACATGTCCTGATAAAAATTACAAAACAAATCCATTAGTGATCTATTATTTAATAAATGTAGGAACAGATTTCCTTCAACAGCCTAACACTGGAACCTTATTTAACCTTAATTATTTATGTCCTTGTTGGTTATAATTACTGATAAATATCTTTAACTAATTGGTGAAGCGATCATTAAACTACTTTAGCATCTATAAAATATTCACCAATAATGTTATATTCTTACAATTTTGCTGAACACACTAAATTTAAACTTTATGCAATGCCATCATTGTTTCATAGATAACAAAATACAAAAGCTAGAATTATTTCCATAGCAGGCTTCACATAGTATGTCAAGTCCTTCCCTTTGATTTCACCAGATGCTGAGTGTACACATTCACAGGAAAGGGCAAATCCAGTGTAGACATTTCCACCTGAATCAGATTAAGACTGCTCTTTCCAGCTGCCCCTGCAAAGTGTCAAAAATCAAACCAGCAGTTATCAAACGCTAGTGTTGGCATATTTCCAAAGTTGAGAAACCAAACAGAGAGCTCACAGTAAGCTTTATTCATCGAGTAAACAATAAAAGCCACATACACTCAAAATGTATTCTGAAATTTCCTATAAACCAATTTATATTTCACAGATTTCACCTTCAAAGCATAATATGTCTAATCCTCACAAGATCCTTTTGAAATGAAGAATTACATGAGAGTCATCTTTCCCCAGAAAAGAGTAGCAGTAGAATGAGTTAGAACAGAACTGAAGTCTACCAAGGGGCTCACCTTCCCAGCCAGAAATGCAACTCATTAGTTTTGTGATTCTGCATCCTGCTTTTCAGATGGTGAAGCAGTGAACATTCTCCACACAGTCCACTACAGTACCTATAACTCCAGCAGCTAGAGCAAACTTTTGGCATTAAAGAGCAATCAGTTAGTTTTATATCCATCTAAAGCACAGCTGACTAGTTAGGTACCGTAAATGGACACAAAAAAATTGCAGTTTTAAATAAAAAGGATTTCACCGCAGGGCTCTTCAACAGTTTAATGTAGAGCTTTTAGTTCCAAAGAAAAGGGATTCCTTCCTGAAGCATGTGTGTTCCTTGGTAATATTTTAAACTTTTGATAACAATAAAGCAGGTTTTAACTATGAACATTACCCAAGTTGTTAGAACTGCAGTAATTCATTCTCTTAAAAAACACTGTCCAGGGCCCTTAGGTAATATTCCACCTCAAAAAATCATACTTGTCCTACAGAGAGAAATAAAACCAAATACACTTATAGAAAAAAAAAATTGTACTAGGATTAACCATTAATTATGGATGGGAAAGCTAATCTGAGTTACTTTCTAAGGCTTTTGTTACATCTCTCTCCTCTGGAATCTCTACCTATGGGCAGCTCAGGGTTTGCCTGAGAAGATTCTTTGCCAGTGTTCTTACCATGTTTTATGAGAGGGATATTGTCTAAATAATGACAAGTGATATGAAGAGAATAGCATAATTAACAAAAAATATATATATCTGTAGCACACATGTCACAGTAATTGAAAGTCCTAACATTGTGCAGTTTCTCAGAGATACACATGAATACCTTGATCTCTGCCACTTGAGTTGCCCACTTCTTCTCTAAAAGGAAATCTTCCATATCTCTTACACGTTCTGCAGATTTGGTACTTTCCATGCTGGTGTGTGCAAAGTTTGTACTTCCTTCTCAACTTTTCTTCTTTCTTACCCCTATCACATACACAAATGCCCAGTTTCCAAGGCCCTTAGGTAATATTCATTCCAGTCTCTTCTACCCAACAAAGTCAATAAGACAACAAAATTATTAACTTTGGATACCATATTTTTTCTATTAAGGTATTATTGATATTCTTATGAAGGTTTCACATGAAAAACAACATGGTTACTACATTCACCCTTATTATCGATTCCTCACCAATACCCCATTGCAGTCACTGTCCATCAGTGTAGTAAAATGCCACAGAGTCCCTATTTGTCTTCTCTGAGCTACACTGTCTTTCCCATGACACCCCTCACACCATGTGTGCCAATCATAATAGCCCTCAATCCCCTTCTCCCTCCCTGAAGCCTCCCCTTTGATAACTGCTAGTCCCTTCTTGGAGTCTATGAGTCTGTTGCTATTTTCTTCCTTCAGTTTTGCTTCATTGTTACACTCCACAAATGAGGGAAATCATTTGGTACTTATCTTTCTCCACCTGGCTTATTTCACTGAACATGATACACTCCAGCTCCATCCATGTTGTTGCAAATGGTAGGGACTGTTTCTTTCTTGTAGCTGAATATTACATTGTGTATATGTACCACAACTACTTTATCCATTCATCTACTGATGAACACTTAGGTTGCTTCCATTTCTTGACTATTGTAAAAAAGTGCTACAATAAACATAGCAGTGCATATGTCTTTCTGAAACTGGGCTCCTGCATTCTTAGGATAAATTCCTAGGAGTGGAATTTCCGGATCAAATGGCATTTCTATTTTTACTTTTTTGAGAAACCTCTATATTGTTTTCCACAATGGTTGAACAAATTTACATTCCCACCAGCAGTGTAGGAGGGTTCCCCTTTCTCTGTATCTTCACCAGCATTTGCTGTTTCTAGTCCTTTCAATGTTGGCCATCCTAACAGATGTGAGGTGATACCTCCTTGTGGTTTTAATTTGCATTTCCCTGATAACTAGCAATGTGGAGCATCTTTTCATGTGCCTGTTGGCCATCTGAATTTCTTCTTTGGAGAAGTGTCTGTTTATATCCTCCGCCCATTTTTTAATCAGGTTATTTGCTCTTTTGGTTGTTGTGGCAGGTGAGTTCTTTATAGATTTTGGATGTTAACCCCTTGTCAGGTATGTCATTTACAAATATATTCTTCC